TAGACTAGATTCTGGCAATCAATTTTGTAATGTGGCCACGAAATTAGGTGGTCCACAATATAGTACATTTTGCATTGATGTTCGATATGCAGAGGAAGCTCTAAACCCAACGGAGACATGAGTTTCACTGCTTTGCTGTTAAGGTGAACATACCGAAGTTTTATTGAGCTGATGAAACTCCATAATGGATAAGATTTTTGATGAAACTGTATGTTCCACTGAACAACTAAATGAATAATCAGAATAATCTTTCTTCATTTGAAAGAAGAGTTATTCAGCTTGGTGTTTTAGCGGTAGAATCCCGGTTAATTACGAGTGAAAGCGAGGGTTAAATACCTAGGTGACATTCAACTGGTTTGAAACTAGTGAAATTGGATAGACTGATAATGAGTTTTATGCTATGTATGGTTAAGTTTTCATGCACAAATTTGAAAGATATGATAGAAAGAATTTGTAGCTCAGGTGGATGATTTTGATGTGGTTGTGTTCTCTGAGCCGGATAGTTAATTTGCGAAGCTTTCATCGCCCTACTTCAATTTGAAGTATGCGCTGAAGATGTCGCCTAGTAGGGCGATGAAAGCTTCGCAAATTAACTATCTGGCTCGGAGAACACAACCACATCAAAAACAAATTTGAAAGTTTAATGCCCCTTGTATGATTGAAACTATCACACTTCTTACTCATGTGTGTTATAAATATATAAGGTGTAAAAGACATTAACAACGTTGAAAAATGTGGTTTGTGCAGAATAATATGGTAACATCATTGCTTATTTCGTTGGCTCATCATCAGCTGCCTTCAGCCCAAATAAATTATAATAAAGTTCTAGTACAGAAACGTTTTAACATACTTGCAAATTTTACATGATGTCAGGTGACAGAAAGTTTCGAACTAAGTGAACAGTTTTCAGAAAATTATCCTATTATAGTTTATACACAGGCACTTTAAGTTTAAACAAAGTAAATATATGCATACAATGGTAAAAGGGTTACTGCATAGAGACAGGCAGATTTACACTATTTTAAAACAAGCAATAAAGGTTAATAAAGCAGGATTTAATGAATTCATCAAATTTCGGTAGAGCTCGTCAGCTGAATACTCTGCATACACGGATATGTACTTTTGAAATTACATTGGGAGATATAGGACTGAATACTTTACATACACGGATATATATACTTTTGAAATTACATTGGGAGATATAGGACTGATAAGTAAATAAACTACATTGAATTAGTCATGCAGAAAGACAGGTGCGAATGTTTTTCCAGGTCATGTGCACTATATCGAAAAGGGTGTGTGTGAGGTTAAAGCCAAAGATTACGCAATCAGTTGAAAGAGAAAATAAAGACATCCAGTTACCACGATGAAAGGAAAGACTGATAACTGCTACTTCCTGAACCCACACATCAATCGGGTTTCAGGCGTTTGATAGAGATCGCTTTGGAAAACTTGAACTTTTTCATCTATTGATAATTTTAATGAATTTTGCGATTTCCAACTCATGACGCGTATTGATGAGATGCCTGTTAATTGAATTATTGTAAGTATTTGTTTTCTTGAGACAAAGGTTTTTCGGCACATGTTCATAAAATCGGAGGTGTGCACTTCTTCTTTCTGTTCTTCCAATGTAACTGCTCCCACAGATACACGTAAATTTGTATACACAGTTTGAATTAACATGAGAAGGGTATCTCTTCACTTTTGACTGCATCGAGGGGAATTTTGCCCGATAAATTATTACTGTCTGATAACAACACCAAAATTAGATTGTGTTAACGTTTTATTTTAGAAATATTATTCTATGAATTGCCTATGACCAGGTTAAAAAAATCCTATTTCTATGAATAGAAAACCAGACATAGTTGTAACTCCTCAGGGAGTAAAAAGTATTAACTACCTCAACACAGATAAGAAAAACGTTGGACTGAGAACGATTTTGTAATGACTAAAAGAAGAAAATAAAAAATATACGAGTCTAATGATATTTTTGTCCCTTAATAGTTCAGATGGAATTAGATACATCAGCACGTAAACCTGAATACAGCATTTGTGGTTGTCGTGATCAGAAAACAGTCTTATTATTAATGTTGCAACTCCTTAGAGTTCCAATTAGATTATAAGGCTTCAGATGTTCATTTTCATCTCAGTGTCTTTTCTCTTATCACAGCACCTACATCATATCACTCTCCGAACTTGTCTTCTCCTATTTCGTGTTACAACGCAGCACCTAGCGCTCGATATCTCTCAACAGTTTCCTCAGCATGTTTTCGATCCATCTCAACTTTCTTTTGAGTCCTTGAAGAGCAACATGTTCTTGAGTTGTTAACTATCTGACTGAGTTTGTTTTCCCTAATACTTTCTGGGCAGTTAGTTTTCCTTGTAGAGTGAAGCCATACGTTAACGGAAGTTTCAGGAGATTATTCAAAAATGACTTTTGTGGCATAACAAGTCTCTCCACCAAGAATTTATAAAACTGAATATAGCATTTACACTTACTGTAATCTGAAAGTGATAATGACTACGAACTATTATACCATTTGTTGATAATAACAACACGCATACGGATCTGTGGGAGGAGTTTACGGTAAACAGAACCATTGTTACCTCAGCTGTCTTGAGGACTCAAGCCAGGCATTTTAGACCTCATTTAGTGACTGGCGTGAACCAACTGTAAGATATTTCATGGACCGCTACCAAGGTCTTTGCCATCCTTAGAATATGAAAGCAAACATTGCTCAATGAAGAAAATGATGGCTTTGTATGAATACCACTCATCCTAGTCACCTCAGTCAATGTAATTTAACAATCTCTTCGATTGACTCAACCTTCCTTATCTAACTCTCTGTGCTTGATCTCAATATTATTCACCACATTTTACCATATAACAGGGGAAATAGAAGACGAAAATCTATGTTCAAAGATAGCAAGCCCCTTTCATATATTCCATTCTCAATGCTCATATCTCACAGCTTTTAAGAAGGGGAGAGAGAACTACTGCACAACATACGCGTCCACGTCTCGATAGCCGGATATCACCTGGACCACAGAGATGACATGAGTTGACAAATATCACAAAAGCCTTTTGTATCCAATAAAATCCATCAGTTTCAACATATTATGGTTGTTTACTTAAACATTCTGTGAAGTTTTACTGTTTTCCACATTCTTCGATTTTATGTACTATCAGACTTTTATTTTTATACTTTCATTATAATTTGAGAAATGCTCAGTTTTCAAGTATTGGTTTTGTAGGGAGTTTTCATTTATTTTGTCGAAGGACTTCATCGTGAGCTGATGAAGAGCCCCAAACCAGGACGAAACATCCGTCCAGTACTTCCAGGTTTTCCAATGGTTCTTTAACTGATTTCAGCTTATGATGAAATCCTTCAACCAATCAAATGCTCAGTTTGTTTAGACTGCTATAACTCTACTGTATTATTAACGAATTAAACCTCTCCTGGTTTTAGTTCATTTATATATTCAGTAATTAAAATTTTTAATGAAGAGACGTTTTTGCCATTGTAAAAGTCGAATTCATAATCAAATTATATTTCGCTAAACAATAGTCGTGATACATTGATATTTACGTAAGTAAGTTGATAAATATGCCTCAGCTACACACCAACGATTCCTTTCTTAAAGTAGATGAATGCAGTTGGGGAAGAAAAAGGATTAAATCATGAAAGTGGCTAATTTAAAGAAATCGTGTCAATCCGGGTGTCAGAAAGACAAAATTTGCCTTCTTTTTGATTATTCGATTAAACGAAGACCTTGTTTATCAATAAGCTGAACAACTACTGGTTTTATTACAGAACGAGAGAGAGATTTGGAGACCGTTGTAGACATATAATTTCTTTAATCTGATCTAAAATATTAGTGTGACACTTACCATTGTTTTTTATGAACTGCTTGTGTGAATAAATAAATAACCACTTGAGTCTGTTATATGGCGACATCTTAATATGACAAATTCCATTGGATCGCATCCCAGTGGCTAAATGGTCTACAAGCTCGCCTTGTAACCAGAAGGTACGGGGTCTGAACCCCGGTGGGTGCGTACCTTTGAAGAGTCCAAAAACGGGACGAAACAGCTATGCTAATATACCGGTGGATGCTATATTCATCGACCTTAGCAAGGCGTTTGACAGGGTTTCTCATTCAGGTCTTCTAGTAAAGTTAGGTAGTCTGGGAATCAGTAAAGTGGTTGCCGACTGGATTCAAGACTTTCTAAAGGACAGAAGACAAAGAGTACGAGTCAACGGGGTTTTATCAACATGGGAATCGGTTAAGAGTGACGTTCCCCAGGGTACAATTCTAGGCTCACTTCTTCTCCTGATTTATGTTATTGAGATTCCATCGGTAGTTAAGTCATCCTGCTTACTGTTTGCTGATGACATCAAAATATGGAGGGCTTTACACGGTGACAGTGATCAACTTGCTTTGCAGGAAGATTTAAACTTGTTAAGTGATTGGTGTAAGCACTGGGCCTTGGAGATTAACTTAAGGAAGAGTGTAGTTATGCATGTATCTCATAGTCACGTGCAAAATTACTCAATGAATGGTATTACTCTCCCAGTGGTCAATTAGTACAAGGACTTATGAGTGTTTGTGCAGCATGACCTGGAAACAGTAACAAACTGTAGAGCTGCAGCCACTAAGGGTTTTCGAATATTATGGGCCATACGCAAGGCTTTTGGGAACTTTGACGCTGCAATATTTCGTATATTATATCCGACTTATATCAGACCTCATTTGGAATATGGGATCCAGGCAGCGAGCCCGTGTTTCAAATATGAAATAGACTTATTAGAAAGGGTGCAAAGAGTAGGAACTAAGCTTATAAAGGATTTCTCAACCCTCTCATATGAGGGGAGTTTAAGTCGACTGTGTTTATTTCCACTGTCACACAGACGACTTAGGGGTGACCTAATACTAGCATACCGTATCCTAAGAAATGATTTTGGAGCTAATTTATCTAATTTATTTCTTCCTTCTAGCACCAACCAATTGCGAGGACATCACCTCACCACAGTCGAATCGTCTGCGTCTGGAGATCCGTTTTTCGCATCGAATTGTGAACCATTGGAGCTCCCTACCGGAACACTTCGTATCAGTGCCTTCCGTTGATTCATTCAAGACGAGATTGGACCTACTGTGTGCAACAAATCGAAAAGGATTAACACAGGCATATAGCCTACAATCCCAAATAAATTGTAAACTGTAAACTGTATACTACTCTCAGGTTTTCCAATGTTTCTCAAAATGATGTGAGCTCATGATGGAATCCTTTAACAAATGCCTTATTTCTTTGCAATTCAATTTTGATTTCGTTTATTCCTGAAGATTTAGAACTGTATATATTGGTTACTTACATGAATGGTTGAATGAAGATTGAATCAACCAAGGGCAGAGTGAGATGATCTCAGATTTTAGCAACCATCTTTCTTGTGTAAATCATATCTGAACTTCATGCATGCATTCCCTTCTATGAGTTTGAACAACACTACAACAAGACAACATCAAATAATATCAAGTTTACTTGTTACAGGTTGTATAGAATCTCGCTAGGATCTTCGGCAAAGCTCTGTTTAAATGTTAGATGGCTGGAGACAATAGATATTGAACTCTGGACCTAGATTTCCTGCTTGTTGTTGCTATTCAGAAAGGAGTATCTGCAGCAATAAAGAAGATCATGACCTCTTTGGTGTCCGAACCTGCGTCACGCACTGCTACATTAAGGAACTCTTCTATCAAGCCATTGTGGTTCACAATTTACCTGCTGTAATAAACTCATGGATTACTCATTTAGGAGTAACCATCTTGTTATCCGTATTAATGAAAGCTGAATTCTACCAGTCACATTTGCATTGTGGTTTGCAAGCTGAGTGACTTGACATCCCAATGCACTGTGAATTGATGTTACATTGTTGGAAGCAACCGGCACATTGGAAACTTGACTCATACAATTCATCCCAAGACAACCCGATAAAAAGAATTAAGTCGCTTGTGAACTAGGAAAGTTCAAACTGTAGGGTTGAGTAATGATGGAAACGGTGATTCTGCTTCTCAGTCTTTTCGTTTTGAATCTGAATTTTCATACAACTTTGTGACAATTTATCTCACTATTATAACTCACTCTAAAATAAAATGAGTATTTCAATTTTAGGACATTTAGTTTGCAACTTTTGCTATTCATTTGGGGAAGGAGTACTTAAGGGACTGATCTGAATTGAAGCTTGATAATTCTGTATGTTAAATTCACTGTGTATGTGCCATTTTGCTCGTTATGCAGGTAAGTTTTGTCCCTCATAATGCTTAAATCGAATTCAACTTTGTTTATTTACCTAACAGTGATTGAATATTCTTTTTTTGAAAAAGTAAATATTTATGTTTGACTTTTTTTCTAATTTTATTTGGAGAACAGTGAAGGGTAGTGTTAGGAGTCACTCATATCACAGAGACATTCCAAAACACAAATGAAGTAAGTACTTAGCAGGTGGATACTAATACAAGATGAATCCGTAAATAAACTCTTTAGGAGACAAAGTGCGATTAGAACCTTAAAGTTAGTGGTGCTTTTGAGGACAGATCTAAAAAAAACTGGTGAGAGGAAAACAGTAATTTCGGAGTAAAAATATTTTAAAATTCGTTGACAGATAATCATATTCTGCATTAATGACGTGTTTGCAGTCAAGAGATAGGGTGGAACTATTCTTATAGGTTCTGAGTGGAACATTAGGCTTCAGCAGCAAATTTGTTCTCCGAGGTCATTTATAGTCTCCTCTATGACTGGCAGTAGGCTTTCATTTCAGCCTCACACAACTTGCTCCATGTGACACTTAAACTCACTCCTATGTCAACGTTTGCCATTTAAGTTTCAGTAGAGGTCATGGGGCATGATGTCTCTCGGTGGTCTCATTAGCGTATCTCCGACTCATCTGATTTTTCTCCATGGATGATAGATTTGAACAAAGCAAGAACAACAATAGGACCAGGATAATATGAGCTCATCTTTTATTATTTCGAGGATTCTTCCTAATTGGTTACAACCTGAACGATAAAAATGTGAATTACAATGAAGATTCGAACATACTTTTCCACGATCACAAAGAGTAATTGGTAGGAAGTAAAAGTAACATTAGTCCGGAATGATTTAACTAATTAAGAGTTACAAACACTGACTATTTATAGAGTAATTAGAAAATTAGGCTTGGAAACAAGAAACAGAGTTGCGTATATATGTGTGGATAGAAACAAGGTTTAGCTAGAAAGAGTATAAGAAAAAAGGAGATTACTTAACTAGAGAAAATGTTTTATCTAATAGTGAATAGAAAAAAGGAAAAACAAGGTAAGGTGAGTCATGTTTAGATGAGAGAGTAGAGTTTTCTTAACAAGAAAAAGGGTGACTCATAAAAGTTGTATATTTTTTGTTATCACCAAGGCAGTGCAAGATTCACCACTGTCTCTTTCTGCGTACATCGATTTGGTTTGAGTCGTTTGATAGCAATTGCTTCAGCAAAGCTTGTTGATTATTTTGAACGACTTCAGGTTGTCTACAATATGACCAGTGTCTAATGGATGACGCACAATCACACTGTTTAATGCTTGCAAACCTTTCAGTCTCAGGTTCTTTGGTATGTGTTCAGAAATGCGGACAATAACCCTTCTCTCTGTTCCTCCAATGTTTGTGCTTTGGCACGTACATGTAAATTGGTAGATACCGTTTGAAGTAACATGAGGTGGGTATTTGTCCACTTTTGATTGTCTCAAACAACTAGTTGTTTGATAAACACATAGAAGCTTGGCGGCTGGACCTGATCTTTTCAGGGCAGCGTTCAGTCTGCATCTTATTCTACTAGAAGTATCATCACCTTTGAGTGCAAGCTGCAGAAAGATAGGCTTTTGGATATAAGAATAAAACTTGTGCACTGTGGTAGAGTGTAATTCCATTATCGGTAAATTTTGTTTTGATAAAGTCTCACAGTGTTATACAGTAATGTTTACTGATGACGTTTCCAGCACAATTTATTGCTCATATAACCTTGATATGATTGTGAGCAATAAATTGTGCTCGAAACATCATCAGTACACATTACTGTATAACACTGCGAGACTTTATCAAAACAAAATTTACCCATAATGGAGATAGGCTTTTTCTCTACTTTGCTGCTTTTCACTTTTTCAACATGACGTCTCCCATACTTGTCGGTGAACTTCTGTGGGTAACCGTTGTCGTTTGGGCATTTTTCCACAATGGATAGCTCTTCCTCAATCTTTTCTTTTGAACACAGCTTCCTTACACGATTAAATAATGTTCTCACAAATCTTTTTTTGTCACTTATAGGGCAGAAGCTTTTGAAGTTAAGATAAACCGCCCTCCAGGTTTCTTTTCTGTCTATATATCTTATGATTTTGCCATCTATATCTCGTTGGATACCAAGGTCAAGAAATTGGATGGTAGATTATTTGTTGGTCGGTTGCCAGGGTTCTCTGTGGCTAGTCATGTTTGGTCATCTGATCACCAGGGTTAGCTTTACTATTGAGAGTCTCAGTCGCGTTTCTTATGCTGAATGCAGCAGATTTCACCACTGAAGGAAACAGTTTTTTACATTTTTTATGTAACAATGAGCAAATAAGAGACACGTATTTATTTACGTACAAAGAAACCTGGATTATGAAAAAGAGAAGACGTTCAGCGAAGAGACTCTTTTCGGCGAATTCATTCACATAGCTGTACAATCACATTTATATATAATTATTTGTATGTGTGTGTACATGAAGTTTGTCAAGTTTAGATAATTGATTAGTTATTACAAGAATGATGTAATATAGAAACAAAGTTAATCAGACAGCAACTAAAGTAAGATTGAGTTAGTAAGCTAGATGACGTAATATAATTGACTAAAATGTTTCAACTTAGATCAGGGTAGCAACAGAGGTAATTACAGGTAGAGACTAAGTAGAAGTGAAATTGAGCAAATAAGTTGGATGATGTAACATAAATGACTAGAAATTGAGCGTTGTTCAAGTCAGTAACAGTGGTAGTGAGGTGTAGAAATTGAATCGGGTGGGGGTAGAGAACAAGAAAGTTGAAAATGTAAAATATTACAATTGAGAAGACAAAGTAATACTAATGAAGAGTAATAAGATAGATTACGTCCATTGTAAGTGTAGTGATTGAACGAACTTCTTCTGTATGCAGAGTTCAGGACTTAGCGAGTGAATCTCCATTGCTTCTGCAGTTTGAAGAAGTCTGATTCGTACACCTTTAGGAAGACTTCTTCGTATTCTGTAGACGACTTTGAAGTTTGTTTGGGGTGTAGCTTGGTGTCCGGATTCTATCAGATGTTCTAAGATGGAACTGCGGGGGCATCGATTTTCTCCTTTGTAAAACCATGTTGATAAGTCTTTGGTGATACGTTTGGAAATCGAGTGCTGGGTACGGCCGACATACCTGGCTCCACACGAGCAGGTGAATTGATAAATACACATTGATGAGGCCAGCAGCGGTAGCTTATCCTTCAAGTTCACATGAATCATAGGTTTTGTGGAGGAGGTTAGTCGCAGTTCAGCTGAGAAGAAGATCTTCTTAAGTGAGCGCGACAGTCGATTTTTTAGTGTTTCCGCAGATATATCTCCATTGAATTTAAGGTTCATGTGGAGTAGTTTTTTCGAGACGCTAAACATGGGCGGCTTTTCTGGTCTAGGATTCATAGATTTCGCAATAAATCTTTCTGGATAACAGTTCTTGACGAGGATTCTCTTGAGATTGTCCAGTTCATTTTCTATGGTGTCCAGGATGCAAATTTTGCGAACTCTGTAGCTGAGTGAACGGATCAGGTTTCGTTCGGTGTATAGGGGTACCCAACTGTGAAAGTTAGTAAGGTGTCCGTTCCACGTCGACTTTCTGTGAATAGACCTTTTCAGTGTTCCATCCTATTCTCGTCTTGTTAGTTGGACGTCAAGAAAGGATATTGTGGAGTTGAACTCTTTCTCCAGCATGAAATGAAGGCAAATTTTGATACGG